TACTGCACTGTAACTGCTCAAGGCCACTGAGAACAACGGGCAAAGCTGATTCATTATTCAGAATAGTTCCATGTGCAGATTTGGCCCCAGTGACGGTAATTAGTGAATTCTGGTGTTTGAGACTAAATTTATTGTATCAACACTCTCAGTACAATTGCATTTAGGCTTATTCAGTGTAATATATTAACCGGGGCTTTTAGAAAACACTAAAAATAGTTGATACAATCACGAGCTTTATAATTGGTGAAAATGCCTCCTACACGCTACTACTAAGTAAGAACCGTTAAAGCTACTTAGTGTACACTTTACCCCCTTTCTAAGACATGCTGAAAAATGGAGAACAAGCAAAACTCTGAGGCAGTTGACATAAAGTTTTCTAATAATGAAAAGAAGTATTGCATAGTCTGCTAAGTGTCTACCCCATTAACTCAGTCTTACTTATTTCGTCCAAAACTCCTCTGGGGTGGGAGGGACGTCTCGGTGTTTTCCTTAGCTCCTTCTACCCGGTCATATCACGTAGACGTCACTTTGTCAACCGTGTTATGAACTTGCTTCACCTCCTTGCTTCCCTTTTTTTAAAAATTTTTATTGCATTTTAGGTTTTGGTGTACATGTGCAGAACATGCAAGACAGTTGCATAGGTACACACATGGCAGTGTGTTTTGCTTCCTTTCTCCCCTTCACCCACATTTGCATTTCTCCCCAGGCTATCCCTCCCCAGCTCCCCGCCCCCAGCTGGCCCTCCCCTATACCCCCCAATAGACCCCAGTGTTTAGTACTCCCCTCCCTGTGTCCATGTGTTCTCATTTTTCATCACCCGCCTATGAGTGAGAATTTGCGGTGTTTCATTTTCTGTTCTTGTGTCAGTTTGCTGAGAATGATGTTCTCCAGATTCATCCATGTGCCTACAAACAACACAAACTCATCTTTTTTGATTGCTGCATAATATTCCATGGTGTATATGTGCCACATTTTCCCAATCCAGTCTATCATCAATGGGCATTTGGGTTGATTCCAGGTCTCTGCTATTGTTAACAGTGCTGCAATGAACATTCGTGTGCATGTGTCCTTATAGTAGAACGATTTATAGTCCTTTGGATATATACCCAGTAATGGGATTGCTGGGTCAATTGGAATTTCTATTTCTAAGCCCTTGAGGAATCGCCACACTGTCTTCCACAATGGTTGAACTAATTTACACTCCCACCAACAGTGTAAAAGTGTTCCTTTTTCTCCACATCCTCTCCAGCATCTGTTGTCTCCAGAATTTTTAATGATCGCCATTCTAACTGGCGTGAGATGGTATCTCAATGTGGTTTTGATTTGCATCTCTCTGATGACCAGTGATGATGAGCATTTTTTCATATGATTCTTGGCCTCATATATGTCTTCTTTCATAAAGTGTCTGTTCATATCCTTTGCCCAATTTTGAATGGGCTTGTGTGTTTTTTTCTGTAAATCTGTTTGAGTTCTTTGTAAATTCTGGATATCAGCTGTTTGTCAGATGGGTAAACTGCAAAAACTTTTTCCCATTCTGTTGTGTGCTGATTCACTCTAATGACTGTTTCTTTTGCTGTGCAGAAGCTGTGGAGTTTGATTAGGTCCCATTTGTCTATTTTGGCTTTTGTTGCCAATGCTTTTGGTGTTTTGTTCATGAAGTGCTTGCCTACTCCTATGTCCTGGATGGTTTTGCCTAGATTTCCTTCTAGGGTTTTTATGGTGCCAGGTATTATGTTTAAGTCTTTAATCCATCTGGAGTTAATTTTAGTGTAAAGTGTCAGGAAGGGGTCCAGTTTCTGCTTTCTGCACATGGCTAGCCAGTTTTCCCAACACCATTTGTTGAACAGGGAATCCTTTCCCCATTACTTGTTTTTGTCAGGTTTATCAAAGATTGTATGGTTGTAGATATGTTGTGTTGCCTCCGATGCCTCTGTTTTGTTCCATTGGTCTATATCTCTGTTTTGGTACCAGTACCATGCTGTTTTGATTACTGTAGCCTTGTAGTATAGTTTGAAATCCGGTAGTCTGATGCCCTCCGCTGTGTTCTTTTTGCTTAGAATTGACTTGGCTATGTGGGCTCTCTTTTGGTTCCATATGAAGTTCCTGGTGGTTTTTTCCAGTTCTGTGAAGAAAGTCAATGGTAGCTTGATGGAGATAGCATTGAATCTATAAATTACTTTGGGTAGTATAGCCATTTTCATGATGTTAATTCTTCCTAACCATGAACATGGAATGTTTCTCCATCTGTTTGTGTCTTCTCTGATTTCGTTGAGCAGTGGTTTGTAGTTCTCCTTGAAGAGGTCCCTTACGTTCCTTGTGAGTTGTATTCCAAGGTATTTTATTCTTTTTGTAGCAATTGTGAACGGCACTTCATTCTTGATTTGGCTCTCTTTAAGTCTGTTATTGGTGTATAGGAATGCTTGTGATTTTTGCACATTGATTTTATATCCTGAGACTTTGCTGAAATTGTTTATCAGTTTCAGGAGTTTTTGGGCTGAGGCAATGGGGTCTTCTAGGTATACTATCATGTCGTCTGCAAATAGAGACAATTTGGCTTCCTCCTTTCCTATTTGAATACCCTTTATTTCTTTTTCTTGCCTGATTGCTCTGGCTAGAACTTCCAGTACTATATTGAATAGGAGTGGTGAGAGAGGACATCCTTGTCTAGTGCCAGATTTCAAAGGGAATGCGCCCAGCAGAAGACAAGAAATAACTAAGATCAGAGCTGAACTGAAGGAGATAGAGACAAGAAAAACCCTTCAAAAAATCAATAAATCCAAGAGCTGGTTTTTTGAAAAGATCAACAAAATAGACAGACCACTAGCCAGATTGATTAAAAAGAAAAGAGAGAATAACCAAATAGATGCAATAAAAAATGATAAAGGGAAATCACCACAGATTCCACAGAAATTCAAACCATCATCAGAGAATATTACAAACAACTCTATGCACATAAACTAGTAAACCTGGCAGAAATGGATAAATTCCTGGACTCCTGTGTCCTCCCAAGCCTAAACCAGGAGGAAGCTGAAACCAAGAATAGACCAATAACAAGGGCAGAAGTCGAGGCAGCAATTAAGAGCCTACCTCACAAAAAAAGCACAGGTCCAGATGGGTTCACAGCCGAATTCTACCAGACACACAAAGAGGAGCTGATACCATTCCTTCTGAAACTATTCCAAATAATCCAAAAAGAGGGAATCCTCCCCAAATCATTTTATGAGACCAATATCATCCTGATACCAAAACCTGGCAGAGATCCAACAAGAAAAGAAAACTTCAGGCCAATATCCATGATGAACATAGATGCAAAAATCTTCAATAAAATATTGGCAAGCCGATTGCAACAGCAAATCAAAAAACTTATTGATCATGATCAAGTAGGATTCATCCCAGGGATGCAAGGCTGGTTCAACATACACAAGTCTATAAACGTAATTCACCACATAAACAGAACCAAAACCAAAAACCACATGATTATCTCAATTGACGCAGAGAAGGCATTTGACAAAATTCAACAGGCCTTTATGCTAAAAACCCTCAATAAACTCTGTATCAATGGAACGTATCTCAAAGTAATAAAAGCTATTTATGACAAACCAACAGCCAATATCATACTGAATGGGCATAACTTTCTTCTCTTTCTTCCTTGTCGAATGCAGGAAGACAGTGAATGCCCCCTCATTGATCCATGCCTGCTGAAGGCCCTGGGTTCACTAAAGAGTAAGAGGCAGTTAATACAGTAAGTGGAGTGGACGTTAAATCACTTGCTGCCCAGAAGCAGCAGATACACTAGCAGACTGGACTAGGGAAAGGCCTGTGTGCTTACATCCACGAGACAGCTCAATTCTCGGTACCCTATGTGAAGGACAATTGTGGTCAGGGAATGGATTTTCTACTCCCAGCCTCCTCGTCTTCCTTCTGTATTTTAACAAGTACAGTAAAATTTCTGAGAAACAAGCATGCTATTTCACGCCCTACGCTTACTCAGTCTTCTTTTGTAATCTTCTAAGTTTTCTCTCATTTTTCCCCAAGGGCAATTTTATTTAGGGAGCCCTCTTCATGTATTCAGTTCAACAAAACAAAGAAGTGTCAAAATGGCTTTTTGTGGTCTGGTTTTAGGAGTTATCAAGTTACTTAAACTACAACGTGAAGTTTTACAGGCTCATTAATCACCCTCACTTGTCCACGTATGCACCTTTGCACACAAACAAGTCAATTTATGCAAAAGTGCAGAAAGGCCTCCTGTGCTTTTTTGTGTATTCTAATTGAGACCCCCAGAGGGAGAATGCATACGATACATGCTTGTAATGGAGGATTCTCAGAATGCTGAGACTATGCTATCTCAAAGTTGAGAGAGTCCTCAAAGACAATTTTTTTAAATGATTCATGTGATGCTTGAACCCTCTGCACAGTTTCCTTATCTGTATCAACCAGAGTTTGATTACCTCGATTTCCAGAAACTTCTTACCTCCCTAAGCTGTCTGTTGCATCTTTGATTGCATTGCTTCGCTTGAATTACGTATTGCACTTCTGGCTGTATTTCATAGCTGCCTGTACCTGCAGCAGCTGACCTATCTGTAACAGGCATAGTTGATAGCAGGTCAAGGTTCTCCCTCTGAGGGTGTGGGCACCACAAGCAGATTGTACATTGGGTAATCAGCCATGCCCATGCAGAGAGCCTTTTTGGGGTGTTTGTGCCCAGTGTGTAGAGTGGTGGCTCTGAAGTCTGCCAAGGCCAGTGCGATCTCCCTCAGCTTCCTGGAAGACTCTTAGCTGTACACTTTGAATGATTCCCTGCTCACCTGCTGCACTCTGTCAACAAGCAAGGAAAATTTTAGGGCAGAAGCCTGGGATGCAGCCAGGTTCAGAAACCTCTCGCTGGGCCTTGTGGTGAATCCATGCTCACACATGGGCTGCCTGCCAAACATTAACTAAAATACTCACGCTTGTTTTCGACAACGGTCCTCAGGTTAAATTTCACCAAGTGCTATTTTGGGTGAGACGCTATGGTAGAAATGTCTCCAGATTCCGGGTGGCTGTAATGCCTCTGCAAAGCCACCTTTCAGCATGTCCCATTTGCTGTGCTTTCAAGTACTCAACTGTGTTGGTGCCTTTACAAGATTCAGCCCCAAAGGTGAGTGGGGAAGCCTGGAAAGGGGCTTCTGAGATAGAGCCTTTGGGACAGGCTACTCTAGGAGCCTCCCTGCCTGAGTTGACTCATTCTTTGATATATGAAAGCAACAGCAAGGGGTGGCTTCCAAGTGCCTGTCTGTGATGATGGATGAGTTTGGCCCTGCAGCCTGGGGAACAGATAGGAGTCAGCAGAACACAGATGTTGCAAGGCAGCCAAATTAATCTTTAATGGGAATGTACAAGTTGGGTTCTTATTAGAATATCTAACAGCCTAACCTCATTGCAACTCGAGAGCTAACCTTACAGAATAGATTTACAGAAAAATCTCCAGGCCTTGCTGAACTTCAGTCAACAACTGGTTCATCTTGTGAGGCTTTCTTGAAACTCTTTCAACCATTAAGGAAAGATTTCACAGCCAAGAAGAGCACGGTCTGAAGTGCTCACTTTATGCAGTCCTTCGGGGGAGTTGAAGCTCAGGGTGGCAGACATTTGAGTGACTCAGACTGAGCACTGATCAGGCTGAATCAAAAGCAAGAATCAAATTTTATGACAGTCCTTGGGTAAGAAGTATCCTCTTCTGCAGAAATATCTCCAGAGAAATATACATTTAATTGGTCAGGGAACCAAACCTACGATTTCTTTCCATTAAGAAAGGTTGTGTGTTAACTGACCTAAGAAAGCTAGTTAGCTATGTAGAAATATGTGGAAAAAGTTATCAACATCACAGACCAAATGCATCTTGGGTATCTCTTACCCTACCAAATTAGAAAGGTGGTGGTATCTTGATGTCCTTTCAATAATTTATTTCTGGAACTATGTAACTTTCAGGGAATTCATTTCACATTCTAAGGATATTGTGGAGAAGTGGAGATTCTGGTGAATCAAGCCCCTTTCTCAGTAGAATTTCCGAATAAAGAAGAAAAGAAAATTGAGGGAAGAAATCATGACCATAAATGGTCTCAGAAAAATGTCTATAAATTGTTTTAACAGTATATATATGATGACTACACTAGATACCTGGCTAGTCTAATAGAATTGAAGGTTGCACATCTGATCCAAGAGTATGTAAGCTTATGAAAGGCACTGATCATACATTAAATCAAGACCGTCTTGTGGGTCTTCAGTATTCATATGCAAGCCATTTAGAGACAAGAGGTAGTGTGCATCATACCAAATACATAAGATCGGGCGAAAGACAGGCCTGGTTTGGAGCTTCAGATAGTTTTTATGACATACGTGATATGGTTAGGCTTTGTGTTCCCACCCAAACCTCATCTTGAATTATAATTCCCAGGTATCAAGGGAGAGACAAGGTGGAGGTAATTAAATCATGGGGATGTTTTCCCCCACGCTGTTCTTGTGATAGTGAGTGAGTTCTCGTGAGAGCTGTTGGTTTTATAAGGGGCCCCTCCCACTTCACTCAGCATTTCTCCTTCCTGCCACTATGTGAAGAAGGCCCCTTGCTTCCTCTTTGCCTTCTGCCGTGATTGTAAATTCCTGCGGCCTCCCCAGCCATCTGAACTGTGAGTAAATTAAATCTCTTTCCTTATAAATTACCTAGTTTTGGGCAATTCTTTATAGCAGTGTAAAAATGGACTAATAAATAGGGATAAAAATACCTATCCTACAAGACCATTGGGAAGATTTTGGCTCTATTTTTGAAGTAAGCTTATTCTTGTCAAGTGTAATAATGCACAATTATACATTTGTGCATTATTGCACAATGGCTGCCTCTCTAGCTCATTATGATGGGGAAAAGTTTAGAATTGAGGAACATTCTGAGAAAGTGCCAGAGCCTGTGTGGTAATCTCCACTTTCATCCCTCTCTTCTGAGAAAGAAGAGATAGAAGTGCCTTCCATACTGGGAAATCTGATTGAGGCTTTGCTCCATCTGTCCTGGAGATGAGTTATCCCTGTCTGATGTAGCCATTTCTTGGACTCTAACAAATACAGTCCAAATGAGCACTATGTACAAGAAAAATAAAAATAATAAAACAAATTGACACAGTTAACACACTAAGGCTTTAACTATCTATTATAAATGTTCTCATGTGTTTAAAGAAAAACTTTGATCATAAATATAAAACAAATAGGAATATCAGTAGGAAAATGGAGAGTTAAGGAAAGGATCCAAATGGGAATTTTAGAACCAGAAATCATGATATCTGATATGAAAAACGTGCTAAATGGGCTTATGATTAGATTAGATATTATAGAAGAAAAGATCGCTTAATTCAAAGACACTACAATGGACGTTAGGCGAACTATAGCATATAGGAAAAAAAATGTCTGACAGAAGAATGGACAGTGAACAGAGGGTTAGTGACTTGTGGGCAAAATGAGGCAGTTTAACATATCTGTAGAGAACCAGAACAAGGTGAGATGAGGGAAATACCCGGTAAAAAATACTTTAAAAAGCACCAGTGGAATGTTTGTCAGGTTTGATGAAAATATAAACCCACAGATTCAAGAAGTTCAATAAACTCTTAGCAGTTTAAACAGACATACTGATAGAAGCACTTATATAATTGCTGAAAACCAATGATAACGATAAAATCCTAAAAACAGAGAAAAAGGCACATAGAACAGAACAAGATTTGCTAATAACTTCTCATCTAAAATGACAGAAGCCAGATGATAGCATGAGACCTTGAAATTGCTAGAAAAAAAGTCAATCCACAGTTTCAATTGCAGTGAAAATATGCTCCAAAATGAATGTGTAAGGAAGACATTTTTGGTTAAACAGAGTGAAGACATTTCTTTTCCAGAAGACCTATGTTATTGGAATTACTAATGGAAGTTCCTCAGGGTGGACAAAAATGGTATCAATGGATCTAGAGAGTACTGAGAAGGGCAAATCTGTGGGCAAATACAAGAGACATTTTCTTCATTTCATAATTTATCAAAACATTATTGTCTGGTTAAAGCAAAAACGATAATAATGTACTACACGACTTAAAACAGTTAAAAGTAAAATTTATAATAATAGCAAAGGGAATGGGAGAAGGGTGATTATAGAATACTGTTTTAGGGTTCTCACATTATACATTATGTGATGTAATTGACAGACTGTGGTAGATTCAAAACCCTAGAGAAATCACTTAACAAATAAAATAGAAAAGTATGCCGAGAATCCAGTACAAGGGATACTAAACACTGAAAAATAAAAGATCTGTAGAAGGTTGAAAAGGAGAGAAAAGGAAGAACAGCAGTAACAGTAAATAAATACCACAAATAGAAAACAAAGAGCAAGATGACACTAAAATTTAGCTGTATTGATAACTGCATTAGAAAGTAAAATGAAATATGTGTTATTTGTAAGCAACATACTTTCAGTATGACATGGATAGTTTGAAATTAACACAATGGAAAAAGATGCATTATGCAATCAATACACATGAGAAAGGTGGCTTGGTTATATCAATAACATGCAAAATAGACTTACAAAAGGATCAATTCATCAAGAGAAATAAATACAGTCCAACACAATTCAGTGTAATTCCTGGTTGATTTTAGTCTATTACATTAAGTTTAGATAAAGAAATATTAAGCCATGATAAAAAAGTAACTATAAGATGTATAGAATAAGATAAACAAGGAATGCCAAAACATACCCTGGGGCTAAGGGAGACGTCCCAAGTAAAGACAAACTTTGAATGGAGGACAGTTCCCAAAGGCCAGCATTGAGATCTCATTGGAGTAGGTGTGACTGCAGATCTCTGAGAGGCGGAGAAGCTTCCTGTGTTCCCAGGCCATTATTAGAACAATTGGATGTCAACACAGCAAACTGTGAACCTAGACCCTTACTTTGTGCCATATATATATATAGTATATAAAAATTATATATATTATTTTATATATAATGGTTTTAGCTATTACATTTAGATCTATTATACATTTTGAGTTGATTTATATATAATCATATATATTATATATAAAATAATATATATAATTTATATGTATAATATATATGAATATATATAAATCAATATTATTTTTTTATTTTTTTCTGGGGTAAATACTTAAGTGTGAGGCTGATGGTTCATAAGATAAGTGAATACTTAATTCTATAAGAAACTCTAAAATTGTTTTCCAAATTGACTGTACCATTTTATAATTCCACCAGAAATATATGAGTTCATATATATATAAATTATATATGTAAAACAATATAATTTATATATATAATATATATGAATATATATAAATCAACTCAAAATGTATAATTGATCTAAATGTAATAGCTAAAACCACAACACTTCTAGAAGAGAACGACAAAATCTTTGTGACCTTGAATTAAGATTTCTTAAATAGTATCCAAAAGCACTAACCATAAAATAAAATAATAATGAATTGGGTTTTATCAAAATTCAAAACATTTGTGCTCTAAAATATAATCATGAATAAAATGAAAAGGCTACCAAAGAGAGGGGGAAATTATTTACGAATATAATACTGGAAATCAGCTTGTATCCAGAATATATAAAGAATTCTTACAGACAAATAGTGAGACAGACAATCCAGTTGAGATGTGGGCAAGAGATTTAATGTCACTCATAGCAGAAGGCAGATGAATGGCAAATCGGCATGTGTAAGATGCATATTGTAATTAATCATCAGAGCCATGCCACCTGCCGTGCGCCATTACAGCTGCATGATACACTAGACCCTGCTGCGTTGCCTGAAGCTCGCGAGACGGACATTGCCAAACGTTGGACGTAGTGGAGCAGCTTGATCTCATAGGTTCTGGTGCAATTATAAAATGGCACAGTCAATTTGGAAAACAATTTTGTAGTTTCTTATAGAATTAAGCGTTCGCTTATCACATGAACCATCAGCCTCACACTTAAGTATTTACACCAGAAAAAATAAAAATATATGTTCATACAAAGACCTGTAATACTCAAGATCTGTGCATTTTATTGCATGAATAATACATTAAATTTAAAACAAATGGAAGTCATAAAATGTATTTTTTAAAGTATTATGATGATGACACAG